GAATTCCAACATAAATAATAATTTGGGGTTAAATCCGTCAGGCAGCTCGAAGGGAAGACTATTTATAGTATTTCTCCTTTTTACAACTTAATTTCAAGGTGGCAAAAGCTCCTATTCATCACGGTTCTGTTTGCAAAACGAAATCAGTTCGAAATCAGTTAGAAGAAGAGAGGAGGCGTCTGAGGGTTTCGTCTCACTGAGAGTGTGTGCGTGTGCTCACTGTCACACGCTCTCAGCCGCCCCCAAACAACAGAATCACAACTGCCCTTTAATTATCTTAAGGGATATAATCAGGAGAGAGCTACTTGAGACTTGGCACTGGTGGTTAAAGCCAGAAAGGGCAAGTGAGTTTCCTGCCAAGAGGAGGCGAGTGAGTTCGGAAACAGTGAAGTAATAAGCACACGCTGATTAAAGGAGGGAGCTGATACCATGCGTGGCACAAGTTTCTCCTTTAACAATCTGCCCCACTGTGAGACGTTCTCTTAACACCCTTTAAAGCAGCCGTCTGTCCCTCCAGGGACAGAAGAGAGTTTGCCTCACGTCCCGTTTCTGCTATTCATCTCCTGGCCTGCCCACTGGAAGGATCCACTTCTTAAAGTCATCTTCTGGACGTGGCTCTGGGCTTTGGGACTCGACTCCATGCAGACTGGGGACTGTGGGCCAGAGCAGCTGGAAATCTGCTCCAAGTCTGCTCATCGTAAAAAGGCACTATTCCCCCTGCGTTTCACAAAGTCTCTGTTGACTGGAACCTCCTTGTTTGCTTTCCCCACCATGTTTTTCTCTCTTCCAAAGTGGACCGAGTTTATTCTTCTCTCCCTGTCAGTGGTCAGTTTACGATGAAAAATTTAACACTGATACATAAATCCTTTCCCACAATCCGCCGGGGGCCAGCTGACCATGGAGGTGAAGCAGGCTTGCTTCATCATGGGCATGCCTGCTCCTCCTGCATGAGTCCAGTGACGCGGATGTGCAGCTACTGAAACACTCCGTGGTGCAGAGACAGCATGACTGTGATTCGGTAAACTATGGCATTTATAGCTGGACCCCAATTATAGGAGAACAGATACAGAAAGAAGTTTATTTCCATATTTAAATGGCAGTGCTGCTACTAGGCATGTGAACTCTGGTAATAAAATAATAGTTCTTTGATTATACTTATAATTTTGGACCATTTGATTCCCAAGTATATAAATATAACTGTAAAATTAGTGAAAAATCTTATCTTTGGGGAAATTTTTTCTAACTGTGAAGTAATATGCATATACTCATTGGTAAATGAAGCTACTAGGTCTACGAAAAAAGAAAACCCAAGATGAATCCACTGTTAGTATTTTCATGTTCCCCGCGCAATCTTGTCTATGTCTACAGTCTCCTAGAAGAATGTTCCCCATGATTGGGATAAATGTCCAAGATACAATGCCATGTGAAAACAACAGGGCCCAAGATGGAATGTGCTTTCCTAAATTTGGTCTTGTGCACACACAAATAAAAGGTCCTCTCTAAAATGTTATTACACCTGTCTCTCAGGTGTGGGATTATGCTGCTCTTTTATCTGCATGTGCGTGTGCCTTTCTGTATTTTCCAAAGTTTCTCCTTTGACTATGAACCGTTTTCATATTCATTAAAATGTGATTAAAATCTGGCAGTGTCTTCAGAAATAATCAGTATGAGAGGATCTTGGCTAAGTAGGAAATCAAGCGGCAGGGCTGAGGGAGGACAGAGGAGGGGGTCTTCTTGGGTCAGAAAAATAATGCGGCCCTTCACAGAATCAAAAGCATCCCCAGGGCGAGGCATTCAGAAAGGGTCCCCTCTTCGCCTGGCTGCCCTTCTGGGTTAATTAATGGCTGGCCCGGGGGCTGGGGCCTTCATCCAAACCCCTGCACACAGCCATGAAGAATGCTGACGTGACGGGAAAGGCGTCCCGTCCTGGGGTTGCATCCAAGACCATCTGCACGCATCCGGAGGGGCCACCAGGTCCTTCTCACACCTTCTGAACTGCAAACTCTGTCCACCCCACACTTCTCTGCCTGATGGGAGGCCGATCCAGAAGGAAGCCTCCCTAAAAATGTTCAACCTGGTAACAGCAAACCACTGCTAGGAAAGGCTGCATCAGAGAGTCAGACCACGTACCTAAGACAAACAGCACAGTCATCCTTACACGTCTTCCCTCTACACAGTGAAATGCACGTTTGTGTCCCCAGGATTGAAAGCAGACTGCGCTGGGAGAACGCTGACAGCCAGTTTCCACATAAGAGCAGTGTGCCCTGTTTTCCTAATGACTTGGGTCTGTAAGCTAATGCTT